CTAATTCTAGAAAAAAAAAAAAAGAAAAAGAAAAGCACTTTTAAACATGTCAACAGACGACATCTGCCACCAACAGTTAACAAAAGCATCAAGCCAAATTCTTCCAAGCTATCCCGAGAAAAATGCATCTTAACAAATGTCATCTTGAGTTGTCGCTGTATATTAAACAGGCCAAGTTGAAAGGACCCTCATTAAAAGAAAAATGTTTACTTCACTTGTAGGCCTTATATTGTTGCATTCTTGGATTAAGGGAAGAAAGACCTACATTGAAAGGCAATAATAATAATAATACTGTAGAAGAAAGACCTTTAACATGTTCTTTGAAGCAGTCCCAAAATATACACTATTCCATATCTGTACGTATATCTCTGTGCACATACCTGTATGCGTAAGTGATATTTAGGTTTACGTAGGTATCAGAATAACACACATGGACATTTCCAAAACTGATTTTCTTTGCTTGGTAGACAAATGGAAGGAGGAAGGAAAGGAAGAAAAATAAATAAGATTTAGTTTCAACCTTCTTGACAATAAGAAAGAAAAGTGAAATTAAAAGGCAACATGGCCAAGACTAAGACATTGTTTTCATTTTCAAGCAAAACAGATTAAAAAGAAATAGAAGTAGCGATCATACATGATGGCCTAAAGTCACTGAATACAAAATGGTACAAAAAGGCAGTCGGGGATATGGAGAAAGAAAGAAGTGAAAACTACAAAAAAAAAAAAAAAAAAAAAAAAGGGGAGGGGATCACTGAATTGGCTTACAAAAATTTAACTTTTGAGAACCAATTAAAATTCAGTGACCATCCAGGCAAGACAGACCGACCATCAACATTTTTTTCTAAACCAAGAGCTTTCACTAATCTTTTGGTATAAAAGCAAAGGAGATGAGGACAAGAGTGGAGAGGGAAGAGATGAACAGACAAAAGAAAATTCATTTTATATATAAACATTATTATAATTTTTGTAGACACTGAATTGACATGAATGCTCCACAGCAGATATCAGTCAGAGGCCTCTTCCAACAAGATATATATATATATATATATATATAACCCAAGCCAGTGAAGTCTTGTGAAAGTCTGGGGGAGTGAAGGGGGATATTCACATAACCCACCATATTTTGGAAATTAGTTTTAAATTATCCTCAATTATTTCTTATAAAGTTTTTGTTTTTCTCTATTTCTGTGTGTATGCATATATTGTTTTTTTTTTTTTTTTTTAAATACTTTTAATACATGCATACTAATATGCTTGCACACATCTGGACTTGCAAGTATACACACCGCATATATATATATATATATATATATATATTTTCCTTCATCAAAGCAGATATTGGCAGATATGTTGGCCCTTAGCACCGGCTTTGGTTGCCTTCAAAGCTATGCCATGCATATACAATGACATACTCTGTTACAGAACACTTGGCTTCCTGACAACGAGATACCAACAAGAATGTCTGGAGATACAGCAGTGATTGGTTGGTTTGTTTTTTTTTTTTGACTTGGCGCAATTTTCATCATTATCACTTTATTTTTTTTTTCCTTTTTCTTTCTGATTCTTTTTTTTTTTTTTTAAAGTTATCATCCCTGGAAATAAATTTTAACAAGTGCTGCTGCTGCTGATGATACTGTCTTTGTTATGTAGGCAGCCATCATTACTGGACTACACACATTTTCCGGTACTCTGATTCAAATTCATCATCAATCTCTTGCATATCTGGGTCCTTGCCCGTCACATCTGGCATAAATTTGCTGAACTGGACACCTTTGCGCTCATAAAACAGAATATAGGCAGAATTACCATCAACTTGCTCCCATAAGACTTCCTGAAACAAACAAAAAAAAATTGTGTTAAAAGAAAAAAAAAATACACTGATTCTTTGACAAAAAACATTTTTTTGTCAGAAGAAGTAAAAACCTTAATGCAGAAAGCCTTAGAAAAATATAAGAGAAGGGGTCACCAGAAATGTCATGAAGGACAATTAAAACCATATAAATATTCTAGTTGATATTACGAATCCAATATATCATCTTCAACTGGAGAACTTAGCCTTGGGCTGGTGCAGTTGGAGTCATCAGAAATTGCATATGCAATAATTTATTTTGTGTAAGAGTAAAAAACTAAATAAAAGAAAATAAATTAAAAAAAAAATTATCTATAAACTGAGTTGCTCTTTATACCAGGGAAGATTTATAAACAGTGTTGTATGACACACCGACTCCTATATAATGGTCATGTTGTGACAAACTTGTCAAGCATTAAATCATTGGGGCTGCAAAATAATTTTTCTTCATGACATCTTCCAGGGGAGTGGTGTTTAATTGCCAGTGCCCATCTACTCCTCTTCATACCATGTATATTGTCGCCTGTTATCAGCAGCAGGGAATGACTTTAGATCTGACTTATTATCAAGATAAATTGCCTTACAAATTGAAACAGCTTTTATAAAGTCTACAAAATTTTAAATTTTAATAATTTTATAGAATGAAACAGCGAAATGTTACAACTTGCCCCAAAATGACCTGGCAGTAAGCAATATTGAAACAATTCCTTAAAATATTTCTCACATTTGCATGACTTGTCATTGTGTTTCTTTCAATGTTAGAAAGAGGAGAGGGGGAACAGAAGGAGAGATACGAGAGGTTGTGCTGAGGAGGAGGGAGAGTTGGGGAAGAGAGAGACAGAGGGCCAAGGCGAGCAACGCAGAGAGAGAGAACCGAAGAGAGAGAGAGAGAGAGAACGAGGTAGGGAGAGGGAGGGAGAGGAGAGAGAGAGAGAGAGAGAAATGAGAGAGAGAGAGAGAGGAGAGAGGAGAGAGAGAGGAGAATGAGAAGAGAGGAGAGAGAGAGAGAGAGAGAGAGGAGAGAGAGGGAGAGAGAGAGAGAGGAGAGAGAGAGAGAGGAGAGAGAGAGAGAGAGAGAGAGAGAATGAGAGAGAGTGAGAGAGAGAGAGAGAGTGAGAGAGTGAGAGAGAGAGTGAGAGAGAGAGAGAGAGAATGAGAGAGTGAGAGAGAATGAGAGAGTGAGAGAGAGAGAGAGAGAGAGAGAGGAGAGAGAGAGAGAGAGAGAGAGAGAGTGAGAGAGAGAGAGAGAGAGAGAGAGAGAGAGAATGAGAGAGAGAGAGAGAGAGAGAGAGAATGAGAGAGAGAGAGAGAGAGAGTGAGAGAGAAAGAGGTGAGAGAGAGAGAGAGAGAGAGAGAGGAGAGAGAGAGGAGAGAGAGAGAGAGAGAGAGAATGAGAGAGTGAGAGAGAGATGAGAGAGAAGAGAGAGAGAGGAGAGAGAAAAACCGAGAGAGAGAGAGAGAATGAGAGAGGAGGAGAGAGAGAGAGAAACTGAGAGAGAGAGAGAGAGAATGAGAGAGAGAGAGAGAAGAAACTGAGGGGAGAGAGAGAGACAACTGAGAGAGGCAGAGAGAGAGAGAGAGAGAGAATGAGAGAGAGAGAGAGAGAGGAGAGAGAGAGAGAGAGAAACTGAGGAGGCAGAGGAGAGAGAGAGAGAGAGAGAGAGAATGAGAGAGGAGAGAGAGAGAGAGAGAGAGAGAGACAAACTGAGAGAGAATGAGAGAGAGAGAGAGAGGAGAGAGAATGAGAGAGGGAGAGAGAGAGGAGAGAAGAGAGAGAGACAAAGGCTGAGAGAGAGAGTGAGAGAGAGAGAGAGAGAGAGAGAATGAGAGAGGAGAGAGAGAGAGAGAGAGAATGAGAGAGAAAACTGAGGAGAGAGAGAGAAAAACCGAGGAGAGAGAGAGAGAGAACCGAGAGAGAGAGAGAGAAACCGAGGAGAGAGAGAGAGAACCGGCAGGCAGGAGAGAGAGAGAACTGAGGAGAGAGAGAGAGAACTGAGGAGAGAGAGAGAGACTGAGGAGAGAGAGAGAGAACAAACGAGGAGAGAGAGAGAGAACTGAGGAGAGAGAGAGAGAACCAGGAGAGAGAGAGAGAACCGAGGAGAGAGAGAGAGAGAAACAACTGAGGCAGGAGGGAGAGAGAGAGAGAGGCGAGGTGGAGAGGGAGAGAGTGGCAGGGAGCCAACCGAGGCGCAGGCAGGGAGAGAGAGGAGAGAACCGGGCGGGAGAGCAGGAGAGAGAGAGAGAGACAACCGAGGCGAGGCAGGGAGAGAGAGTGAGACAACCGAGGCGAGGCAGGGAGAGAGAGAGAGAGGCGTAGGAGAGATCAGGCGAGGGAGAGAGAGGAGATAACGGGCGGGAGAGAGAGGAGACAACCGGAGGCGGGAGAGAGAGTGACAACCGAGGCGGTAGGGGAGGGAGAGAGAGGCAGGCAGGGGAGAGATCAACCGAGTGCAGGGGGAGAGAGGAGACAAACCGAGACTGGCAGGGAGAGAGAGGGAGACAAACCGAGGCGAAGGGCAGAGGAGTGAGAGAGTGGCAGGGAGAGAGGGACCGAGGCAGGGAGAGAGAGTGAGACAACCAGGCGAGGGAGAGAGTCAAATTTGAGGCAGAGGCGAGGCAGGGAGAGATCATGGAGTCGGGAGGCGAGAGTGAGAGACTGGCGGGAGTCAACCGAGGCGGGCAGGGAGAGATCGGGAGGAGAGAGACAACCGAGGCGACAGGAGATCATGGAGTCGAGGCGAGGGAGAGACTGGAGGCCGGAGGCGACAGGAGATCAGAGGAGTCGAGGCGACAGAGATCAAGGAGTCGAGAGAGAGAGAGAGAGAACAAGGAGGCAGGAGAGGATCAGAGAGGGAGGCAGAGGGCGAGGCAGGAGAGAGAGAGAGAGTGAGAGAGATCATGGAGTCGAGGCGACAGAGATCATGGAGTCGAGGGAGATCACAGAGACTGGGGAGTCGAGGAGACGGCGGTGGAGTCAGAGATCATGGAGGAGACCGAGGCGACAGAGATCATGGAGTGAGGCGAGGACTGCAGAGATCATGGAGTCGAGGCGACAGAGATCATGGAGTCGAGGCGACAGAGATCATGGAGTCGAGGCGACAGAGATCATGGAGTCGAGGCGACAGAGATCATGGAGTCGAGGCGACAGAGATCATGGAGTCGAGGCGACAGAGATCATGGAGTCGAGGCGACAGAGATCATGGAGTCGAGAAGGCGGAGCTGAGGCGAGAGAGATCATGGAGTCGAGGCGAGAGAGAAGGCGGAGCTGAGGCGAGAGAGAAGGCGGAGGTGAGGCGAGAGAGAAGGCGGAGGTGAGGCGAGAGAGAAGGCGGAGGTGAGGCGAGAGAGTGAAAGAGACTCTGACCTACAGCAGAAACTTGAAACTGGCCTGAAGTAAAGTAAATACCCGTATGAAACTGACTGGTAACCTAATTTTTATTCCTAAGGAAGGAAAAATATTTATGTTTAAAAAAAATGTGATTTCCTGAATTTTCAGGTGTGTGTCATTTTTGGAATATAGTGTGTCATGAACAGGTAATATGTGCAGACATAAAGTCCGCAGTTTATTTCAGGTCCTCCACTCCAGGTCTTCCTCACATATGAACTCTACTGATAAATGACAATGGCAGTAGTCAAGTTTTAAATAAATTATTAAAGGTTTATCTACAAAAAATACATTAATATGATAGTTGTGATAAAATGCATTTGAAGGATTTAATAAGTAAAAAAAGAAAGAAAAGAAAAGGGAAAAAAGAAAGATACTAGCAAAATATAGGAAGATCTCAATGTTCTTGTTACAGTTTCAGAGCCGACATATATATCTATATCAAGCAGAGCAAAGATAAAAATCTATGTGATTACTTAGCTTTCCAGTTGTCTGTTCTTTCCTTCTCTCGCTCTTATTATAATTATTTTTTTTTAAAAATGTTCACTAATCGATATTTTTTCCTTTCTCTTAGAGGTTATTTGGCAAACAGTCTGTGTTCTTTTCTTTCTTCGTCTTGCCATTTCTTATTTCTCCCCTCAAGGGTTGATGGGTAAATAGCTTTTGAATATTGAGTATTTCTTTTTTTATTTATCTGTTTCTTTCAAACAAACACGTTGTCTTGAATTAACTACAAAACTTTGGATTCTTATTTTGGAGTCAACCCCAATTATGTGGGGTTGACAGCTATTTCTTTGGCTGTCAGCAAAATAAACTGGTTACTTTTCTTGCCAGTTTCCAAGCTGCAAAAATCCAACCAGTCTCCTCAAAATCCCAAACCCGACTCATCTCTTCGACTTCAAAACCCCAACTAGTAAAATGGCATTGAATTCCACACCTCATTTCTCCACATGAAATTTGGGTATCCCAAATTTGGGCATAAAAGATAGAATATGGTTCATTTGAATTTATTGTCCATTTTACAGGTTTACCTTCTCCCTTATTTGACCAGTCATATCACAGAGTCACAATTAGCCAATGTCTAGACAACATCGGGTTAAGAGGAAATTTCTCCTCCCTTCATCACCTTGTTATTGAAGAGAGACACATATAAGAGAATAGAAATAAAAAGAGATGAAAGGGGAAAGAAAGCCAAACACCCTTTGCTCTTTATACATCTGTCCATTTTTTTAGTAACTTCTACAATTCAACTATGACTTATTATTTCTCCACTTTTCTCTTTTTTTATGGTTCCCAAGATATTAAATATTAAATCCAACATATATTTATTTTTCTTTTTGGTAAATGTTTGCTCATCAATTATTTAGGACATTTTTTTAAATTTAATATAATTGGAGGGTCTATGTCACAAGTGTGAGAGGTGATATTGTGAGTTTGAGTGGGATTGGTCATTAGGTACAGTCTTAGGTCTGTTGAACGTGAGTGTTGTTTTCATTTGATAAAGGGATTTTTAGTTGAAATGAGTGACACAAAGTAAATCTTTATTCAGGGATATGACACACTTTCAGATGGAAGTGACAATGACATCTGTGATAATCAGATCAAATGAGGGTGAGATTAAAGACCATGAGAAATGTTCCATTGGATCTAAGCGATACAAGGCCACAATTTTGATTGGCCTGCCAATGAGAGAGGAGCAGGAATGGAGTTTCTCATCTCTCTCTCCAATGCAAGGCCATCATTTTGATTGGACCACTAATCATATTGGCTTCTTGGCAGTTTCCTTCCTCCCCTTCAAGGCATGTAACAGAAGACCATTGGTCAAGCATTATTATTGTCTAGCCAATCAGAGCAGTGCAACTGGGGTTTGAACCACCATAAAAGCAGTTACCAAAAGAGCAGCAGTAAGATCGAACTGGTTGCGCTGCTAGTAGACCAACACTGTCCCTGCAAGATGATTGGTGCCTCATTCAGCTAAAAAACTGTTCTCTGTGCTGCTTTTTGATCTCTCTCTCGATCAGCTGCTTTCACTTAAATATTTGAACTACTCTGGGCTGTTTAGCCATAACTGTAACCACCAACCAACCTCTTCCTCCCAGCTCAAGAATTCCTTATACGGGAAAAATTCTTCAAATCCCTTTTGTTTATGTATTCATGATCTTCATCATAGTACTCTAAAATAAAAGTTATTTTTACACTTATTAATGAGTGTTGTTGAAGTTAAGTTTACCGGTGACTTTAATCTTTCACAAGTATAGCCAGAACAGAAAAGAGTCAAGCTTGATCTTTGACAGTTCTTCACCAATATTCCTATGGCTGCTGTAATACACCATGAGGATGCAAGATTGGTGCAGAGCAGGATCGCTAAAGATGGAGAAAAGTAAGAGTGGCATTCAGTGAAGCAAGCAACAACATGGCCACAACAGAGAACTCGTAACTACAAAAAAGTAATTCCTTGGATCAATGCCGAATAAAACAGAAAGCAATGGGTGAGAACCCTAACCTTATATGGGCAAAAGGAGATTTTTCTGAAGATAAGAAATGCAGAAAAAAAAAAAATTAATCAATACAAAAAACTCAACTGGAACTGGAACTCAAACTACAAATCTTTTAGTTATAACAAAATCTGTACAAAAATGTAAATATAAACTTTATAGAACTAATGTGAAAGTGAATTGATAGAGAGAAAAGTTCAAATTAAATGGCAAGAGGAAAGTTCATATACCAAAAATCAAATCCCAGGTCATAATTCCAAGGGTTGAAAACCAATCAAAGTCCAACATCAGAAAATACTGAGGGTGTAAATTAAGGGTCAAAAATTCACATCAAAAATGCACAACTACCCATGAAGAGTCAAGATGATCCTGTGGCCCAAAAGAGTGTTCTTTTATTCTGGGGTAGGGGTAAGAAAGGCTGTGATTGGTCAAAATTGCTACCAATGCAAACAATTACCATAATCTGAGGCTGACTAATGTCGACCTGATCTTATTCTGATTTTCTTTTTTGTACAAACGGCACAAAGAACACAAATTTGTTTTTGAGGTAAGATTGGATTTCACCTTGAGAAGTCAATTTCTTTGCAATTAAATATATTTGGTCTTCTGTAAATCTACAGATTTAACTTGGGACCAGATCAATTTTGCATTTGGTTTCCAGAAAAATCAAGAAAAACAAACTTACCTTACAACTGCTGTCATTGTAGCAGTACCAGTGATTGTTTGGGTTTTTCGCAAAGGCTACATAATGGCCTCCACCTAAAATTCCCGTGTGACACTAGAGGGAAAAATGTTAAACATGATATGTTATTATTTATGCAATAAAGAATTTTCAAAAAAAAAAAAAAAAAAAAACAATTTCTTTATATATATATATATATATATATATATATATACCCACACACAGGTAAAATGAAAACAAATGGAGTATAATTCCACTGTCCATTATATATATATATATATATATATATATTATGAAATGGACTAAGTCCTACAATTATTTTAATATATTTTCTGTTTATATATTATTTTTATAGATACAAATATTTAAGTAAATGTTCTGTTTATAATAAACAGTATTAACTACATTTACCAGCCTGAATGTCCAAGAAATTTTGTAGAAAATGTGTGTCCTCCACAGAACTATCATTTGTTGTTTAAAAAAAGTAATTTGACTTTGCTAACCAGATGCTTCCTCTGTAACGAAATGGTATAGTACATCAGGCTATATGACAGTTCTATTTTGTTGCTCTTTTTACCTAGAAATCACAACTTAAAGCAATCACAGCTCTCCAGATTCCTTTTTTATTATCTGTGAATTGTGATGACTTCTTGGAAAAGAAAGGTTTTCCATTGCCTTCTCCATCATTTTGGAATTCAGAATAGTCTCCTAGACTGGTTGCCATCCAAGGCTCAAGTACCCAGTCTATTCTAATATTTAACCCATAGTTGGAAAAAAATAGATATATTCATTCCTTTTCCAAGGGCATAGTGCAAATGTGGTCACAACAGACAAGACCAGGAATTGAACTCAGCTTGACAATTCTAATTTGTGTTGTTATGCAAACAACAGAGCTACAAATTTCAGTATTGAAAGGATAAGGTGCATGTGTGTGAAGATACTTACAGAGACAGCATAGAGATCATAGCGAACATTCGTATAATCAGCATCACAGTCAGAAATAAGAGAAGAGATTTTTTCTTTTGTTAGTTTTTGTTCTTTAACCCCACCAATGTGGTTGTGGAAGATGTCCCCATTGGTCAATTTGTGTTTGTTTATTGGAGGTTGATTTGATGATAGTGTTGAGGTTGACAATAGTGGTGTACCGTTCGTTTGCATTACTTTCTGTCGTTTACAACAACTACTGTTTTCCAGGGAATCTGGCGTAAGAAATAAAAAAATTTTTTAAAAAGAAATGGACAAAAAGTCAAATTCATAAAAAAAAATTTGATTTTCTTTAGTGATACGTCTTAACAAATTCAGTTATGTGCCATATATGATACACGCTTAGGCGATCATATATCCTTCAATATATAACTTACGAGGCAGATTTTTCCCGCAGTAGGTTGCCATTTCTTTCTGCAGTAGACCAATTGCCATCCAAGGCTATACAACCCAGTGTGTCCTGCTACTTACCCATAGCTGGGGGGGGGGTGAGAAGAAAAGGATTCATGCCTTTTCTCAATTGTATTAGCATGTAATTGAATGTAATTGATTCAACAGGACTTTGAACTTGGCTCTTCCATACCTCAATCCCAACTGCTATCCATTACTCCACTCTGCCTCCCTTAACAACTTAACAAATTCTTATTTATACATTTTATATTTGGACTATTGTCCTAATCTTTGTTGTTGTTATTATGTTTTGGCTGTTGTGGTCTCCGGTCTTCCTCACGTAAATCTGGGTAACATACATGGAATTTTGAACTGAACCCTTTATTTAATCTACGGTGATAGACTGTCCTCGTTTTACTGACCCATGCCTAAGAATTTTATCCAGTTCTTATTTTTAGTAGGTTACCCAGATTGATATACAGCTGAGGCAGGCCAGAGGGTACAATGGCCAAAATGTTGTGATAACAACAATAAAGATAAGGACAATAGTTCGAATATATATAGTGTAAATAATGATAATTCCTCATCACAGAAATTCAGACAGAAGTCAATAAATTCGCTAAGTGATTTATTTAACTCATATCTTGCAGCTTAAACTGATTTCTTTTTTTTTTCCTGTACACCATATTTGCCCACATCAAGGATGCAGTTTTTTACCCGAAATAAATCTCAAAAATTTGTGAAGATTAGGGTTTTCATATGCCTATGATAACCCCAGAGAAAAGATATCTATACCAGACAATAAACTGAATTCCTGTATGTTATGCAAATTTTAGAGACTTATTTCAGGAAACAAACTGCATCCTTGACACTGGCATATATGGTATTGTTGACATTTTGCTTAAAGTTCATATCTTTATTTTTTGATGAAAATTGAGAAATTTTCCAACATATTTCAATTAAATTTTCACTTTCCAAAATTATAGTTTAGATATATGGAAAAATAACAGCATCAGAAGGATATGGGTTGAAAAAAAAAAAAAAAAAAAAAAAAAAATATTTATTAAAATACAGCTTTTAAATAATGCAATAATTCTTCATGTGCAATTTTAAAATTTTGCTAGGAAATTTTGATGATTGCAGAAAAAAAAAAAAAATTACTGTATTTCCCACAATGCACTTAAAAGAATAATTAAGAAAAAAAATGGCAAAATTTACTTATCTACCTAATAGTTGGTAACTGTTTAACACATTAATACTCTGTTGACTCCCAGAATTAAAATTATGATTACTAGACTACCCATGACCCATTGGGTTATTGACGGTTCAGGTTATAAAACACTAAAGTTGATTTCAACGTTCCATTGAAATGAAAGTTAATTTTATTAAGATTCAGTTAAATATCTCAATTCATTCGTGTCATCATTGCTGTGGTTTGCAAGTTCATGCTTAACGTTTTACTGATTGTTTACAGCATTTAATCAGAATAGAAATTCCAGGATAAACTTTTAATTTTTTTAAATATGCCAAAAAATCTTTTAAGTATTTAAAATATTGTTTGTTTAAAGAAAGATAAAAGATAAATAATTACTCTACAAACAACTGGACGAAACAGCAAAGTGGGATCTCTTTGTTTTTAACTTAAAAATATTTTAATTAAAAATTGTTTGAAGAAAGTTAAAATAAAAATACTTACTGTATAAACAACTTTTATTTTATTTTTAAATCTTATTCACTTAAATCAGATTAACGGATACACCACGCAAATGTGAAAGCACAGATTTTTAGTATTATACTGATAAATCAAAATAATGTTAATAGCAAAAAAAAAAACCCAAAAAACTCCTGTTTGATACATTTGTCTGCTGCAGACCTCAGAATAAAATATATACAATTATTTTGATTTATAAACATTATATGTCTATTTTTTAGTATCTGTAGTGAAAGAGATAATCAGGTACCCCAGATAAAAGTTTGTGTTTTGTGTGCGATCTGCCGAAGAAAAATTACCAAAAAGTAGTCAGCAAAAATCTTATAGTGAAGCAAACAGCAACTTATCGTCAAATAGCGACAGCGCGTCGCGTGTATTCTCTGAAAAGAAAAGTGACAAAAAAAAGTCCGTCGCAGGAGTCGCTATAAAAGTATTTTGATATGCAAATTATGGAGCATCCTATCCCAGCTGTTGACGAATGAAAAAAATAGGTTCTGCCGATAAAAGCAGTTGGTGTTCTCGATCGGGGGTGGAAAATTCGGGCATTTTTGGCTACGGCGTTTGTTAGAGAGTGAGTTATTTTTTCTGACTGGTTACATGCATTGTGATTTGAGATAGTACCGGTAAATCGAGTTTTCAGCATTTCTTTCTGCCCCCAATATTCGAGTCTGTAATTACAGTGATTTTACTTTGTGTTGTGGAAGTAATCTGCGACAAATACTTCCTTTGCTTTCAGAACACCTACAGTATCACTTTTAGTAAAGGCAAGAATTTTTCAGTATATTCCTAAAACATTATAACCACCTACCACCACTGAAGCCACAAATTAAAATGTATTAATCCTTTGTAAAACTGATATACTGCAGATCAGACTGCAGAAATGATGTCATAAGGCAAATTCCTACATATCTTTGCTTTCTTCTCTGATTTTGTGAGATTGGTTCTGTTCATGGCAACACTTTAAAATGTCAGCAATGATCTTAATGAGATTTTACAGAATTCCAGTCATAGAAAAATGAGATACCTGACCTGACCTAATTATCATGCTTTGATCTGCTTTTACCTGAAAATCAAATGAAAAGAGTGAAGAGCTGTCACCAGTCTTAATTTGGCTGATTCAACTAAAAATCATAAGGAATGGAAAAAAAGAATGGGATTTATAAAATTGGGTTTTGTGGTAAGAGAAAAATCAGCTGAATCATTTGTACTTAGGCATGTTTCTTTCATTGATAACATTAAGTGCAATAAGATAAATTGGAGAATATTGGTGAATTATTTTTTTTATTTTTTAAAACAAATACTGAATACTATTGACAGCCTGATGCATGTGGATGTAAAAATTCAATGGTTGGCAGAAATACCCTCCCACAACAATGGTAAGTCATTATTGGAAATGATGGCTTCATCTAGCTCAGTGGTTCTTAAACTTTTTTCAGTCCCAGACTCCAAAAAGAACAAGTCCTTCATAGGCAGATAAACAGACAAGCAGATATTTACAGTCCAATTGGTTTTTCACAATACTTGTATGTGTATTTCTCCACACTGCACCCTTATACACATTACAAACACACCATTTTTCAGCCAGCCATGCTTGAAAGAAATTGTGGCAATTAATCCTCACCAGTATATGAGCAGATAATCAAGCCATGATAAACAATGGAAAATGAGAATTATCATTTGCTCTTATGGCAGTCATACAGAGAATGTTGACACATTTAAATGGTAAATTTGAACCCAACAGCAAAAGTCAAGAGACACCTAGCAGTCAGTAATGTATGTAGCAGTTGGGTACATTTTCTTTCAAGCAGTGATACATTTTCTTTTGTTTCTTTCCATGGGAAACTGTTGATTGGGACAAGGGCTGTATAGTGAATATAACTGTATGTCTGACCCTCATGTATCTCCTGAAACCCGTAGTTTATGGACCACAGTTTAAGAAGCCCTGACGAGCTAATGTCATACCATTATGTGTGAGGCATTTCTGATGCACACTGTATATATTTTGCCATCAGTCATTTAGAGTTGACTGCTGGATAAAGGTCTTTCTCTAATGCTTCAAGAATGGCCATATCTGTGCTACTCTTTGCTAGGCCTTACCAGCGACCACCCCCCACCTTCTCTCTTTATCTTCTATGGGTTGCAAGCACACACACACACAAATAAATGATGTAAAACATTGTTGACATAATACACAATACAGTTTCAATTCTGAACAATCATCATTTGCATCTGTCACAGAATATTGTTATCTAAATACTGAGTGTTGATTGACTGTTTTGTTTCCTACAGTTTATCATCCATTTGCAGGTTATTTGAATCTATTTTTAGATTGTAAGTATTTTTCTTTTTTTATTTCTGGAGATAATAGTGTTTAGTTGTACAAGTCTTACTAATTAACCCATAGCTGGGGGAGAAGAGGTGGATTCATACCTTTCCCAAGGGTATTTGCACATAACTGAATATAACAAATGCAATGGGAATTTTAAGCAGTGATAAATTTTCTTTTATTTCTTTCAATGGGAAACTGTTGATTGGGACAAGAGCTGTATAGCAAACATAAATGTTAATTTATCTATTTATCACATCTCGATGCTAACCAGGCTCAACATTGCTTAACTTCTTTGATTGTATGTGAACCAGTGTTCCAAAGTGATGCAGCTGTAAGCCACTGAGTGTTGAGGAAAAAAAGAAGCAATTGATTACCTTACTGAATTTTTTTTAAAGTCCTTAAATTTATGTGTCATGGGCATGACAAACTACATCTGCGTCCTGGGTATGACGATAAACTACGTCCAACAGCAAAGCCTCTGATAATACGTTTTTGAATAATATTACCAGCTATACATTTTTGAGAAAAAAAATATTAACAGAAATGGATTTTTGACAAAACAAAAATATTACCAGAAAAAGTTATCATTAAATGACCCATTAAGGTTGATATGCCATAAAACAAAACAGACCAAATCTTAAATTTATATCCAAATATGGTCAAAAATAAATTGCAAATGAAAGTGTCAATTCTGACAGTCCCTGAATGTGTAAAAAAAAAAAAAAAAAAAAAAGCTAAAGATATTAGTTTATCAATTAATCAAGAGATTAATGGTCTTCTCACCTGAGCTGTTGCATTGCTGTGTGTTCTTCTCTGTCTGATTTACCTGAGCAGGTGAGCATGCTGGTGGCACAGTAGACTCTCCAGCCAGGTCGGCATTATTGGCACAGATACCATTTTTAATCAGCTCATTACTATTGCACAGGTCTTCTGCCTCCTCCTCCTCTTCTTCCTCCACGCTGGTCAGTACAATGTCCTCAGGCTCAGCCTTTTTGCAATTTCGAGATGCACGAGGAGCAAGATAACAACTAGGATCAAAGTCTTTAAATGGAAATTTAACTATTTTGTGGGATTTTACCCAACGTCCATTCAGACATTGGAATCGTTTGAGGTTAACAATCTGGAAAATTAAAAATTAAAAATTAAAAAAAACAAAAAACAAAAAGGAGAGATAAAATAGAAAACTATAAAACTGATCAAAATAATGCAGCAGCTTGTAGTAAAAAATATTTCGTATTTTCTGATTTTTCTGATATATATGTGTAAAAATTTCAGATAGAGTATATTTGTAAAAGTACAATATGAATAAAGACAAAAGGAAAACTTATATTAGCCGATATGTTTTGTGCTTTGATAGACTTTATCAAGGCCAATGCAAGGATTTTATTTTGTAACAAATATTTATATACAAGAGCAAAAATGTTATTGGTTTTTAAAAACTTTTTAAGTATAGGAATGCTCATAAATATTCATCGGGTTAACTGAAATGTCATGCTAGCTATAGAGGATAAGAAGTGATACAATTCAAAGTCAAATAAATGAATGTGATGCTTTAGGAACATAACTATAATTCTAACATCTTTGTCAGAAAGGGATATATGAATGGTTTTACTATTTGATATTTCTGTCAGGGTTTTCATATATCTGTGGGTAAATGTGATTTCATTGGATTTTTCAAGTGTGACTGTAATTAAACCCTGAGTGCATCTTTTGTTGAAATCCAAGTCATTACATTGGTAGCTTTTAATAATGAAATCTGTAATATCTTTTTTGGCAATCCAGTGGCAAACTTTAGACTGAAGCTATCTTCCCCACAGATATACTAAAACCTTGAAAGAAATATCAAACAAATATATATCTCCTTCTGACAAAGGCAGTGGAATTGTAATTATAGACAGAAACAAAAAAAAAAAAAAAAGAAAAGAAAAAGAGAGTCCTTCTTGAAGACAGTAATAGTTTATCAAAAAATAAATGAACACCAGGTCATAAAAAAGGCACAAAAATTTAAAAATGGAACTAAGCATTTTTCATATGAACATTTTCTGTACACTGTGCAAAAGTCACGTTTTTTTTTTTTTAAAAAAAAGAAAGCACCAATTAAAAGTAAGTGCAGCAAGGTCATCATCAATATGATAGCTCCCAATGTGCTTTACAAGGTTTGATAAAGTGAAGTAAAAGTCTAAGTCATATCTGGCATCAAATACATGCTTTGGTGTGCATATGACAGTTGTGGAATAAAATGTTACGTTTTTGGAGCTTTTTGGTTTTAAAAATTTTCAATAAGATGTCATTTAACTTTACTATTAAAACATCAAATAAAAAAATTCTCTCACTTGAATTTGTACTGCAGGTAAAAAGAAAGTCTTACTAATTGTTTTTTTCCTTTTATAAAACAACATATAAAGAATCAGGAAAAAAAAAAGAAAAGAAAAGAAAGTAGCTGCGATACCCACCTACAGCAGATTGTACAAATCATACGACTTAAGAATTTCAGCCCATATGCACTGTTTTTTTTTTGTTTTTTTTTTTTTAACAAACTGACATCATTAGGGGTGGCTCAGGCTACTGGGGGATGAGTGGTTTTATTAAATCTCGCTCTTGTTGGTCCCAGTCTCCTTGGAATGACTGTCATAAATCTTACAGATGCATGCTGGGATTTCTTCTTAACCAATAAAAATGAACAATTTTCAGCTTCATCCCACACATTTTTTGCTCTTTCTTGCCTTGAAGTCAGAATGCTATAACCACTTGACTGTATATCCCACCATCCCCAAAAAATGGGTTTTGAACTTACCAGAATAGGAGGTAAGCGCCAAATATCTAACTTTTTAGATGCCAGACAACGTTTGTTACATTTTGAACAGCTGTAGAGTTCATCTTCTCCAAGTTCCTCTTCTTTGGTGAACGCCTGAAGGCACGTGTCCAGATCAATTGGTTCCGTTTGTAACCTGCGACTTTCTTCTACACTTCGATGTTCTTGTAAAAGCTGTAAATCATCAAGATCAATAAATCAGAATAATAAATACACACAAAGCAAAGAATTTCTTTCATTTTTCTGTACAAAATGTGGTTAGGAATGAATTAATGTTGAAATTTTGAATCCACCTTAATCTGCTTTGAGGGACTGGAACCTAATTTCTGACATTTGAGAGGTAAAGGTTAACACTTTTTTGATTATTATTAACCTTATGTGCAACTGCATTCACAGATTCCCTAAATGTTAACTTGCTAAAAATGGATTTCAAACAAAACTCACATGCATAAATAAATTCATCATGACGTGAACAAATAAAAGTGGGGATGGAAAGGACACACCTGATATAAAACCAGCTGATGTCACAAAACAGGTACTGGACTGAAATCCACTTGGGAAAAGAAAAGTTAGGAGGTTAAATGGCATCTTCAAAAGAAGCAATCAGAAGTTAATGCCATGGGTGCATCTTGGGGACACTAGGCCAGAAACAATTTCATTGGCATTGTGTAGTTGTAAGCTGATGCTCTCAAAAGAGAGGCGACAAGAATTAGCTATACCAAATCAAAACTAAATAAACCAACATGTTTAATTGTGATAACCAAATTCATACACTATTTACATTATTTGGACTATTGTCTTCATTTTTGTTGCCATGTTTATCACATCATTTTGGCCGTTGAACGCTCCGGCCTTCTTCAGGTAGTTGGAATGTTGAACTGAACCCTTTATTTCGCTCATTGGGGTAGACTGTTCTAGTTCCACATGCGATGACTAATGGATTTCAGTTATCTCCTGTTAATTCCCCTCTGAAAGTTCTCCACTGCCTTAACCAGGTACTCAACTCACACTCTTTGGGTCCTGTCACTGGATCTAACTAATGCCTTTATCTACTTTAGACACATGGCACAGTGGAAACATCATGATAAACATGGCAACAAAAATGAGGATAATAGTCCAAATAATGTAAATAGTGTACATAATACCTCATCTCAGAAATATAGATAGAAACCAAATTCATATTCATCAATTCCTGCCCAATGTTGCTCGAGAACAAATTTAGAGATTGCATTTTATAGATATTCAAGAATATGCATGGTGTAATGGGTAAATAATCTCCATTTTAAATTTTTAATTTTGCCCATAAGCATTGTTTTTGATTTTGTCAACTGCACACAATAGTAAGGTCAGTTGGGCACTGTGAGAAAAAGAGCACCATGATGCAATTCACTCTGCCAGAAATTTGGAAACTGCACGCTGTACTGCTTGCCATTAACCCAGGAAGCACCAATACAAACATTTCCGTGTGTGTGTGCCAATCTGAGGACAGTGCAGAGGATTCAGAAAGAGATGGATGATATATCCAATCAACATCATGGTGTTTGAAGTGATTACTAGTGATGGTGACATTATGCCTCCATTCATCTTCCCATGGGGCTTCGGACTCAACATGGAGGTTTACATCAAGGAGTTTTGTTGGCTTCTCGCTCAAATGCACTCAACACATAATAATCAAGGGGGTTGCAGTCTGGGGATTTAAGTTGCCAGATGTAAAGGGTGATGTGGTCGCAAAAATTGTCCGACAGCCATGACTGGGTTCTCCTACTTTTGTGGCATGGTGCAGTGTGCTATTGCCAGACATAGGGTCTTTCAGCATCTACCCTCTTGACCCAGGGCAGCACTACCTGAAGGAACTTGATGTAAACCTCCATGTTGAGTCATTAATGACTTATGTAAATTGTCTATCTTTCCAATGGCTGGGATGTGTTGATTGACCCAGGTTTCCAATTACATCTGTCTCTTCAAATCTTTCTTTCAATACTGTCCAGCTTTCACTGCCATATAGTAGATTTGAGAGGACAAAAATAGTCCATCACCCGTGTTCCTGAAGCCATTTTTTTGGTCCCTTAATAACATATTCAGTTTTTTTAAAAGCATTCCTATGCACCTTTGGATTTCTAAACGCAAGTCGGGTGCTTCTGATAGCAGAGTGGGTTGACGCCTTACCTTCTCATTGCTGGTCTGGTATCGGAGATGCAAAGCCGTTGGCTCCCAGTCAATGGCAACAAAAGAGCTACCAAAATTGAATGGATTTGTGTTGCATTCAATAACGCAGCCCCGACAAAATCTGAAAAGATACAAAATGCAGCTATCAAATTTAGTAATTTAGAGACCAACATAGAAAAAAAAAATATATTGAAGCCAAAAATATTCACTTACTTATACCACTGACACCAGGCACAAGCAAAACCTTCTTTCTGAACCACTTTAAGAGTGAATGGATATTCATAGCCAAGACTATCATCACTGAAAAATGAAGGGGAAAAAAAAAAAAATGTCACTTCAAATGCCAGTTACACCAAATATAAATTTGACTTTCTGATTATGTTGATAGGCAAAATGAAATTCACTTTAATTGGAAGAAAAAATGCTTCAAGAATATAACAAGAAATATTAAAAATGACAATTATTTGCATAGGAATCAGAAATTCTTCCGCTTTGGTGCAAAGTGTGTGTTCTCTGCAAAAACCATTACAAACACTATACAAGGCAGTATGGGTAAACTGTTGTCATTTTATATTTTTAATTTTGCACGTGCATATTGGCTTAAATTTTGTCGATTGCATAGTATAGTAGGCTCACTCGGGAACTGTGTGAGAAAAATGGCACCATGACACAATTCACTCCACCAGAAATTTGAAAATGGCATGTTGCACTGCTTATCATTCATGCTGGAAGCTCCAATACGAACATTTCAAGGTGTTTGGGTGTCAATTTAAGGACAGTGCAGAGGAATGAGAGTGATGAAAACCAAATATCAAGTCAACATCAAGGTGCTTGGAGTGATCACTAGTGATGGCAATGTTCTACTTCCATTCATCATCCCACATGGCCTCAGACTCAACTCATAGACCTTGAGGAGGTAGCGCTGTTCTGAGTCAAGAGGGTGGCTGCTAGAAGACCCTATATCTGGCAAAAGGACTTTGAACCATGCCCACAAGCAGAAGAACCCAGTCATGGCTGTCAGACAATTTCTCCAACCCCCTTGATTATTATGTATAGGGTGCAGTTGTGTGAGAGACCAACAAAACTGAAAGCAAAGATTATGGCAGCATTCACTAACTTAAACCAGGAAACCATCCAAAAGATTTGCAGGAGATTCAGAAGTTGACTGGATATAGTTTTTATTATCAAATTAGAAAGAGTTGTTGCTAGGCTCAGTGTATTTTTTATTTGTTTCTGTTTTTCTGTCTTGTGGAGTAATCTTTTCCTGGAATCTCCTTGGGATAAATGTTTCTTCCATTTCTATGAAGATTATGTGTATGGTTGCAAATTCTATATCCAAACCCCAGGTACTGCGATGGGAATGAAAAATAGCAACAACATATGCCACCCTAACCTTAGATACAGCTGTATACAAGAGCCAGGAGAACAGAACAGCCAGTCACAAGGGACAAGAGAAGAGAATTACCACGCACAAGGTTCTAAGTGAAAAGAATTGCTGCACACAAATGGTCAGGAAGATGGAACGGCTGTATATGAGAGCCAGAAGAACAAAATTGGCATACATGAGGGCAGATAGAAAAAAGAAAATAGTTTCTGATAAGCAGATAGAGCAAATAAGAAAAAAACAAAACTAACCAGTCTTGAGCATGGTTTGGAGTCTTGGCTTCTGAGGGAGGTAATGGGCTGACGAGCCTTGCCACTTGTGTCCATACAAATTGATACAGATCCTGATTAGTTGTGGCTTCTTGACATGGCAAGATCAAAGGCGTACCAAACAGATCAGGGTGGGCTTTTTGTGAAGATAGGAAGTAGTCATCAACATGTGTCTGAATATAGAAAAGAATAAACAAAAATATTTTAATTTAATGCCATTCTTTCAAATAGCATAATATATATATATATATATATATATATATATATATATGAAATAATATATTTTTGGAAATCAAATTTATTATAATTCACTTCTGGATTTTATAAGTTTTTTTTCAAGTTGTTAAAATGGTAAATTCTCAAAAAATTTTTAAAACAATGAAAGCAACTCCTGCTAACTTTTGTAAATGGACAATTCAAACTAGTTTTTCAGCTTCGTATCAACTCAGATATTTACATGTAAATTATTATAAAACTTACAAAGAAAATTCCATATTCAAGAAAAAAAAGAAATGTAACATTCCAAATTTTGTTAGGCATTTGTCAGAAAGAAAAATATTTAGTGACTAACAAAGCAGAGGAGAATTGTATATTGTTTCACAAAAGATGTTTGTCCCACTCATGGAAATTTTGACACATTGTGAATATGGTATTTTTCTTCTTTCAAGAGACTTAATAAGATTTTGGTAAACCAATTCAGTATATGAATGATGGTTTAATTCCTGAATTTTACTCCTTCAGACTGATCACCAGCTTCATAGAGTAATATACTAAATTAATGTTTTAATTAAAAATATCTCCATAATCAGCTACAGTCAAGTTTAATTAATTAGAAACTTGATGAGAATTATCAATGCAGTTAACACTAGTGGTTTCCTTTCAGCCTTTATTTAATACTTGAAATGTCAATTTTAAGACATTTTTCATTGCTAACTTCTACAGAATGTTTCTAACCAATGATTTATTGATAGTAAAGCAAACAATGAATATGTCCTTTTCCTTTGGTTAATTCATGAATTTTTCATTCAATAAATTCCCAAAGTTGAATACAGTATCAAGACTTTTGATGACAGCCAGCAGCTAATATACCGTGTATGACTTAATATATTTTATAGGATTTCCACAACTAAAAAAAACATTTTTCACTGTCTCTAATAAATATGATATCTCCCTTCACCAACGCTAGAAACTCCAATCAAGTTTGTGATGTATCGTGTTAAACTCTTATTTCCAGATGAGATTCATTACCAAGTTTAGAGTTAACAATGTCACATGGTTTGCTTGGTAGATTTTTTTTTAACAATTATCTTAGCTCAAATCCAGTAGGGATTGTGAATAATTCATAACTGATACTGGGATTTCTTTTAATGAATTATCTAATAAATTTGAGCAATCAGGAATGTGTTTACTTTTTTATTCAAATCATATTTTGATGCATAAGAAGCATTAATTGGAATTCTGTGTTATCAAAAACAAATTCTCAGGCCTATGAATGTGCTATTTGCCACTTGACCAATTTTGAAAGTTATCTTAAGATGATTTCAAAAACCTGCATTGGAAAAAGATTATTCTGATGCTTGTAGAATAAAGCAGACTTCATTTAAATCTGGATATTCAAATTGCCCGCACCCGACTTCATTCAACCCCGGATCCTCAGAACGCCCGCAACCGACTTCATTCAACCCCGGATCCTCAGAACGCCCGCAACCGACTTCATTCAACCCCGGATCCTCAGAACGCCCGCAACCGACTTCATTCAACCCCGGATCCTCAGAACGCCCGCTCAACCCGGATCCTCAGAACGCCCGCAACCGACTTCATTCAACCCCGGATCCTCAGAACGCCCGCAACCGACTTCATTCAACCCCCGGATCCTCAGAACGCCCAACCCGACTTCATTCAACCCCGATCCTCAGAGCGCCCATAACCGACTTCATTCAACCCCGGATCCTCAGAGCGCCCGCAACCGACTTCATTCAATCCCGGATCCTCAGAGCGCCCGCAACCGACTTCATTCAATCCCGTTCAATGTCATACCAGCTTATTAAAATTATTATATTAATCAACACCCAATAAAATGCTCAATAACTACTCAAGGTAGAGATTTACGGTATGCTGTTGTATAAGCATTAGAAAAGGCAAGAAGTTCATGGGGTTATGCAGGATAACAGTTAACCCCAGACTTGAAGCAATTCAAGATTGTAGTCATCCTGCCGAGAGTCTCTTCCACTATGCAGCAGTTCTTGTGAAGAAGCTGTCCAAGTGGAACTTTCTTCTTACTAATGGAATACAAAGGCAATAGGGATTGATTCACACTTGTGCACTTAACACAGCATGTCTCAGTTGTAATAGTCAGGGCTGGTAGGACTAACGAATGTAACTCGTCAGAACAAATGCCATGAAAATAGCGATAGAGCAGCAAGAGGCTTGTGACATTTTGTCTGAACTCTATCAAGACAGGCAAGTGAGGACTGGGAAGATCCAGCCCAGATATGACAGCAATACTCCATTTTGGTTCTGGCTTTTTAGATACATTTTTTGTCCAACATTTCTTTGAAGCAAAACTACTTTTCTGTCAAATTGGTCTACATTCCCAAAGACATGTAGAAACTATTTTCAAGAAGACTCAGTTTCTTTCCCCAATATTGACAGAATCTCACTGTACATTTTCAATCTCCTCAAATCCATACAACATCATGTTTAATAATTGCCATTTAAATCATTCAATGTCTGTAAAGAATGTCTGCATTTTAACCAGTCGTGTTCTTTGAAATCATGAGATGCTTCTTTTGATATAGAAATTTTAGGAATGCTCCAAAAGATGAGAAACATGTATCTTCTATATGCAGTGTCTCATCAGGTTGTTGGCGGCCATGGCTCTCCACAATTTTCTGCCCTCTGTAGCCCTTAGTAAATTTTGGCTTTTTGTTATCTCTCCCAAACCGTGTTCTGCCATCCATTTACTCAAGCTCATGATGTAGGTTACGAGTTATTATCAACCCCGACCCCTGGCACCGTCCTTGCTTTAAATCTGTCTTGAGAATATCAGATATCCAATTTTCCTCATTATGTGCCCTAGAAATTCCAACTTTCTCTTTATGACATTAAGTATAAGAGGCATTTTTGTTTATATTTCTGGTAATATTTTTTTTCAAAAATGTATTGCTGGTTATTTTTTTATTTTTTTTTTTTACAAAAATATATTACTAATATTTTTTTTTACTATGAAAAAATATTGCTGGCATTTTACTATAAAAATGTATTTTTATACTTTCTTAGTGTTTTGACCCCACTTTGGGGGTTAAATATTTGCCATAGCTGGGACCCTAACAGGTGTTACCACCCTGGGTCAGGGTGAAGCTGGGAACAGCAGCAATTAAAAACAGTAAACAGCAAAACCTCCAATATCCCAATCAAAGGCCTTGCTGCCAGATGTAGTTTATCATCATATCCAGCACAAACAAGTATACAGTAATAGCAATGTAAGGAGAAAAAGCATCATTTTAACCCACCAGTTTTTTGTGGGTAAGTTAAATTTTTCAAAATGACTGGTCATTCTTGTCAGGAACATACACATCTATATTACTATAAAACTCTGTGAACTTTGTTTGCTTGTGTGTTTGCCAGAAGTCATATATAAAGAGTGGGTAAAGAAAGATGTAAATTTATTATCATGTATTAAGTGGAGAGAGAAGGAAATGGAGAACATATGAAATCCAGCCCCAAACAGGATATGCACAGATGTCATCAAGGTCCACACGACTCTTGCTTGTGAATGTCACAACTTCATGCTAAAAGCAACTGCACTGACAAACTTCAAAGAGATCACTTCAGACTACAGCACCACCGTCCACAGTAAGAAATAAATTCTATCTTTTGTATGATTTAAAAATACGATTTGTTTATACAGTACGTATTTTTATTTCAACTTTCTTAAATTTTTTTAATGTTGAAAGCAACTTCAATGTTTTATTATCTGAATCTTCAGCGACGCAACGGGTCATGGGTACTATACATTAAACAAGCAAAAAATATTGTAAATAAAAGTGTTTTATAAATAAATATAAAGTTTAGTAAAATGTATTATATGTTTCTAAACTAAATGTATTTTTAGAATATCTCTTTCACAACCTCTTCATGACACTAAATGTAAGCAGTAAATGTAACAAGGTTGACCCAACGGGTCACAGATGGTCTAGTTAGAATATAATTTTGCACTAGTCTTGTCATATGGCAACAAGAAAATAACTAACTGAGAATAAAAGATGATACTACTGCAGTTGCTGGGCTAATTATACCCAATTAGTGCAGAGTGATAAACGTTAAATTCCAAGCTCTGAATAAATTACATAACTATTTTGCTTCCAAACAAATCAAGAACACTGGTCAAAGAATTAGAACTTACCATTTTTCTATGATATCCAATGATGAATCCTTTGAAGACATCACCTACTGAACGTGGCAGGCTATCACTGAGGGAGCTGCTGCAAGAGCTGGCATTGCTCGGATTCCGAGAGTGGCCTCCACTGCCACCAGAACTGACACTGCTGCTGCCATTGGTTAAGCTATCGGAGTTGATTGAAGGAGAGTCCCAGCCATTGCTTTGAGCCTGTGACACTAAACCACTGCTACCACCACAGTTGCTTTTGCTTAGGCTGTGGTAAGGGCTTCTACCTGAAAATGACATGACATACAAAAACAACAATTTAATAGAAGAAAAACAAAACAAAAAAGAAAACAAGAAATGAAATGGTTTTCTTGAAAAATCTCATATTAAAAGAAAAGAGGATTTTTTTTTTGTTTTTACATTATCAAGCGGGATTTTTTTTATTTTTCCTCTTGAGTTCAATCTATCTATCTAAATATAAAATTCTATAAAACAGTCAATTACATAAACATTTATTGCAAAAACCAAATGCACATTAACTACAAACAAGACAAATCTTCACTAAGACATATTATAAAGAAATACCCCAATTGACCCAAATAAAAAAATCAAATTATCTATTATAAAAAATTTAAGACAGCTGACCTTATCCTCAAAAATAACACACCAGTTAAGTCAAAATTACAAAGAATGAACATTATCTATGAGTTCAAATGCCCCTTAAGGAACTGATCAAACCAGACTCATAAATAACTATATCGGTTATACAACTACATGCTTATCCAGACGACTTATGTTACACCTATCTGATCACAGCTCCATTAGAACACACACACACAAACTTACCAGCCTCCATTAGAAACATACTAGTAGAAAACAAATATAATAACTTCAGCACTTGTAAAAAAAAGATTAAAAATAATGGAAGCTTTAATAATAAAAAAGAAAAAGCCAACTCTTAACAATATTAACTACGAACAAGACCGCTCAGAACTATAAAACATTTGGACAGTTTTTACACACTCTTTGTCCAGAAAAGAAAGCTCTTGTTCGAACACAAGGAAAAAAAAAAAAAAAAAATTAAATAAAAAGCTTAACCGTAGTGCTTTGTCTGTCATTTTTAATATATATATATATATAACTGATAAAATATAATGTGCAGTAATAGCACTGTAAATATAAACACAGTAGGGAGAGTAGAGTTTTAAATCATGACAAAAATTTTTAGCAATAATTTCAACAATACTAAATATCATGAAGATTTTAACACATGTCAGCTTGTTGCAAAAAAAAATAAAATAAAAATAAAAAACTGCCCACTCACAATTTTTCATAACTAGTAACAATCAAAAGTACTCAAATGTATAATAATGAACTTTGAACAGATTAATCTATATATAAAATTCAGTGACTTCCGTTAGTCTGGCTGTCTGTCACACCCACTAAAATAACCATAAATCGACTGAGAAGAAGTGCAAACAGGTAAGTGGGTACAAAGCAGAGTTGGTTTTACTAGGATGCATAGCTTAGTACAATAAATTTTCACACATTTTTTTGGGGAAAAATTAAGTTTTATTATTTACCATAGAAAATACATACACTATTTTAAAAAAAAACAATTTAATGATTAAAATAACAAATCATTATTTAATAAAAATGCAATATTGTTTTTTCTTTATACAAGAATCCACTTACCAGTTCACTCGTCATAACATGTCATATTTCTCATAATTTTATTTATTTTTGTTTTTATTTTTCAGAACTTCGATTAATATAGGAAAATTATTCCTGAAAAAAATCACAACTGATCAAAATCTTGGAATTTTATTTTGGATTTAATCAAACTCTTGTTTATAGGATAATTTCATGAAATTTCCAAATTTTATTGCCATCATTTTTTTCTCATCTGACTCCACCCAATTATTTCCAGTGTGTGTGTCTGGGGGGGGAGACGCCTTAAGAAGGGTGCATGCATTAATAAACTGTAGACAATTCTGCAACTCAAGGATGACATCTGTACTGAAATTCAAGGTCTGCAGCCAGAGTTATTGATGGAGATAATTTTAATCACTCACAATGTCAAGTTATTTTCAGCAATAGAATCTGTTCAAAGAAATGAAACATTTATAAAAAGTCAGAACTCACGAGTGGACAGGCCTCGTTGAATTTCACTGAGGCCAATGCATTCTTTGGTGGACGGTGTAGCAATTACGGCCGTGCTTGTTGTGGTCACTGTTGTAGATAAGGCTGAAATAATGGCCGTTCCCTCCGTTGAAGAGACAGCTTCCGAATCACTGTTACCAGCAGGAGGAGGCAGTTCATATGCATACAGACTGCCTCCTAGAAGAGTTCGAACTTTCTGATTATCAGTTGGAAGATTCTGGAATCAATGTAGAAACATGGAAAAAAAAAAATTAATAATAATAATAGATAACTTCCCATTTATAAAAAAATCAGTGGGTTTAATGATATGTGTACGTAATATTATCATCAACAGCATGCCTACTTCAAAATTCCATATAATCTATTGCAATGCTTTGCAACTGCTATTTCTTGGAACCCTAGGGTTCCACAAGAGAGTGCTAGGGGTTCTGTAAGAAACAGTAATAAATAGGCTAATGCAATTTTTAGGGATTTTTATTTAATTTTATATTCGTAATTTTATTACAAACACATGGCATATTATTGGAAAATCCTTGGTTATTATAATAAAGCCTTCAACCTCTTATTTAAAATTATAATAATAATAGGGAATGGATTTAGCATAATAATAATAATAATAATAATAATAGGGAATGGATTTAGCATAATAATAATAATAGAGAATGGATTTAGCATAATAATAATAATAATAGGGAATAGATTTAGCATAATAATAATAGGGAATAGATTTAGCATAATAATAATAATAATAATAATAGGGAATGGATTTAGCATAATAATAATAATAGGGAATGGATTTAGCATAATAATAATAATAGAGAATGGATTTAGCATAATAATAATAATAGGGAATAGATTTAGCATAATAATAATAGGGAATAGATTTAGCATAATAATAATAATAATAATAGGGAATGGATTTAGCATAATAATAATAATAGGGAATGGATTTAGCATAATAATAATAATAGGGAATGGATTTAGCATAATAATAATAATAGGGAATGGATTTAGCATAATAATAATAATAGGGAATGGATTTAGCATAATAATAATAATAATAGGGAATGGATTTAGCATAATAATAATAATAGGGAATGGATTTAGCATAATAATAATAATAATAATAGGGAATGGATTTAGCATCATAATAATAATAATAATAGGGAATGGATTTAGCATCATAATAATAATAATAATAGGGAATGGATTTAGCATAGTCCATAGTGCATCAATGTGAAACCACCTTCACTGGTTATCGGACGGGACCTATACGTGGCAGATTTGTGTATCATTGAATGACTCCCACGACTACAGGACACATGCACATTATTCATATATTATGTTTGCTACATGAACTATGATAAATATATAAAAGAGATAGATATATAATAATGATGTATTATAATTTTTATGCAGGGATTCCCCAAGAAATGAAAACTATTTCAAGGGTTCCATAAGGGTAAAAAAAGGTTGAGAAATGCTGGTCCATTGTGTTCAGTTTTGTACAAACGAGACCTTGGGAAAGTCAGAAATTAATCTCTTATCATCATCACAAGCTATGAATTAAATAACAGGGTTGACCATGTTCTTGAGATCTGGATAGCAACCACAGTCTAGGAGAAAGACAACAACTCTAAACTCAAAACCATAGAGAAGACAGAGGGAAACTACTCCACTATCTTTCCCAATAATTCATGATAATTCACAGACAATAAAGAAATGGAATCTGTCAAAAACCATAGTCACCTATAAAGAAGGTTACAGTGTTAAAAAAAAAAAAAAAAAAAAAAGAATAATTGGGAAGGAAAAATAATTCCTATCTGTGGTAGAATTAGAATGGAAGTTCAAATATTAAAAGGTAAAGTGTTAAATAAGACATTGCCAGACATGATTGAGAACCAATGCAATAAAAACAACAACAGTTCTACTGGATTGATTTTATCAGAGAATTGAACAAAAAAAAAAAAAAAAAAAAAAAGTAAATAAATCTAATGCATTTGTGTCAGGTTATCTAGAAATTATTAGTTTGTTGTTCAATTTTTATATTTTTTTTTATTATTTAATATCTTTTTCTAAAAAAAGAAAAATGCAAACTTTTTAAATTATCAAAAATAGATAAAAAGTTCCTTAGAGTTATCTCCCCTATTCAAGGATTAAAATCAAGAGAATTTTAAGAAAATGTCTTTTTTTACTTTTTTTTTTGAAGCAATACTTGTTTTGTCTCTGGTTAATGTATCAATGTAAAAAATACTTTCATTTGTTGGCTCCGAAGATTTTAATTAAAAACAAAAAAAAAAAAAAGAGTTTGTGAAAATGATCGCAATAATTAAAAAAAAAATTCATAAGGAAAACAATCAGATACTGTAGTCGTTGGAAGAGACTGAGATGAGTATAAAGTTAAAAATCCTCATTGCTTTGTGTATATCTTTTTTAATTTAATCATTTCAATCCAAGCAAGACAATAAAGATTCAAGGAGTAAGATGTAAGAAAAAAAAAAACAAACTATTAAGGAGAGAAAACAATAAAAGAACAAGAATTAAGAAAACATAATATAATGATTGACATCGCATTTAAATTTTTGAAGATCAAAGTTGACTAGGAAGCAAGAAGCCAAAAAGAGTGTTCCACAGATGAGAAGTGCGAGAAAATAAACTGTTAGCATAGAACTTATGATTACCTCTAGGCATTTAAACTGTAAAATGATGAGACCTTGTCGTCAATCTAGTACTGCACTTAAATTCATAAAGTCTATGTACCAAAGAGGAAAGCTCATTAGAACAATAAACATGAAAATATTTTTGTTTTTCAAAATTGAAAGGTTTACATTTAACAACTTATAAAAGGGAAAACTATTTATTTATGTTTTTCATTTTAAATCTATTATTGGTTGCTAGAGTAACACATGTAATGCTGCCACGCCAGCAACAGTGGGTGTGGTCTAAGGGCAGCATAGCCTGATAGAGAGCATATATTCAAGCTGGTCTTGATTTTAAATGGATTACCTTCCTAAGGGTAAAGAACTCGGTCTGCTCCATGATTTACTCATGACTGGGGTTGAGAAGGGTAAAGGAAGAGCTTTTGTCTTTCCCAAGAACATAAGTGTAAAGTGAAAATGACAAACTCAGAATATAAAGTGACATTATGGAGATAAAGATTTTAGAAGATAATTACAGTTCCATGTAAATCCTGGAAATAAAATGTACTGAAGCCTGTATGAAGCAATTGGTTAAAATGTACAGAGGCCTATACAAGGTAATCAGTTAAAATGTAATGAGGCCCGTATGAAACAATAGGTTAAAATGTACTGAAGCCTTACATGAAAGAATCAGTTAAAATGTACTGAAGCCTTACATGAAAGAATCGGTTAAAATGTACTGAAGCCTTACATGAAACAATCAGTTAAAATGTACAGGAATCCACATGAAGCAATTGGTTAAAGTTTATGGAAGCCTATATGAAGCAATAAAAAACTAAAATCTTACCTTGACCAGAGAACCAGTTATTTCTACAAATAAAATTTGATTGGCAGAAATGTCTGCAAGTTTTCCAAGCTCTTTCTTGAGGGTTTTGTACTTTTCATCCATGTTGAGTCTCAGACCATATTTGATTGGCACAGAACCATCAAGCCAGATCACTACAATAAGCAAAACAGAGCAAACATCAATACGAAGCTGATAGCACTGAACCTTTTTTTCTTAAATTTGAGAAATGATGTTGGTTCTTTTAAAAATAAAATTCTAGATTTTAGGATTTAACAGTTGGAATTAAAGATAATTGATAAACTTACCGTTTATATTAAAATCCATCGGAGGTGTACAATTGGCACTAAAACCAGAAATTTGTTTTTTAAATTATTTTCCCATATTACTATAGATTAAGCACTCCAGACCACAAATATCCAATTTTTCTTTTATTAAATATTATAAAAGTTAATAGAGGGTCCAGTTTTCTATGTAAATTCATTGTAAATTGATCCCCCTAGATAAGACCAAATGAAAAATACTCATACCAAGTGATCTCTTAAAATTTTAAACATGAAAAATGTTTGAAATTTTAATATGCATGTTTTTTTCATGTTTTATTATCAATCAAGAATTATTATTCTTCTCCAATGTGCCATGTCCAGGACATGGGCAAATCATGGTCCTTCACAATTTCCTCTCCTTTGTAAAATTTGTCTTTTTGCTATCTTTCCTAATCCCTATTCTGCCAACTGTTTATAAAAGCTCACTAGATAGGTTATTCACTGTCTCACTTGCCTTAAATATGTCCTGTGAGTGTCAAATTCTCCAAGCCTTTTATCCTCGTTATGCACCTGAGAAATTAATTGCCTCTTTCTGACTAAGTATCCCTTCTGTTTTTATCTTATGTTATTCATATGTTCAGATCATGGGATTCTCAGCATCCTTCTGTAGAGTGACATTTCTGCTGCTTCAGGTCTACATCTGTGAGGAGATTGTCCAGCATTCACTGCCATATAGGATGACAGATATTACATAACTGTTCAGTACTCTTTTCTTTGTTTCAAACAAAATTTTCTTGTTTAATATATTTAAGCTTGAAGAAATCACACTGTATCTGTATACTGTAGAGTAAGCAGAAGTTAACCGTTTCAAGTCAAAAGATCAAATGACAAAATAAACACACTATGCAATGGCTCTGTGCTGGCCTTCCAGTTTCAAACATATTTCAAATTAATAAAAGTAAAGACGAGCCAATAAAATCAACTCCTGCCAATAGATAAATATAGGCTTCTGGAGCCTACACAAAGCCATACAAACCAGACATCCATTCAACTCAGCTGAAAGAGTCACAGCAGTAAAGAGACACAAGTCATTCTGTCTTTCTCACCAAAGCAACAATGGACTCCCTTTTCATCTTGTTTCCCAATTCCACTTTCTCTCTTCCTCACTAGAAGACTATTTATGTTCATTTCCTTTTCAGTCAGAGAGAAGAACTTTCAAAATAAAAAAAACTTATTTTGTGATATTAGTTAAGAACTTGTGTATTCTATGTTGAATAATTGTCATTTTATTTGAACAAGCAGCAACCCTTTCTCTCACTTTTTATTCAACAAATGACGACTCCTGGAATCTTTCCCCAACAATACTTTGTTTTTGTAAACATAGGGAGATCAATTTACAATGAATTTATATAGCAAACTGGATCCCCTCCCTATTAACTTTTATAATATTTGATGAAAACATTTGTTTTATATTTGTAATCTTGAGTGCTTAATCTATAGTGATACAAGAAAAAAAAACTAAAAAATGATTTCAGGTCACAATGCCTTTTCTAGAGATTCAACATCAAAAAATGGTTTGAATTCCTGATAAATTTATAATCCATTGTTTTGAAATGAGTAGAAACTGATTTCAGGAATTAAAACATGAAGCTTATATATGCCTTTTTAACAGCTGCAACATTTATTATCTAAAACTCAATGTTACTTCATCTCCTCGTAATGCAGCTCAATCTCTTCTTACTATTGATGTTACTCAATGCCAATGTTGCCATAACAATGGAATATTTCATGAGTAAGGAAGATAAGCAAAATCTACTCTGGCACTCACCTATGACTTCCAGGTGTACACAGCTGTCCATCGGTAGAGGTAACGACAGGTAATTAAATGGATCAAATCGTACGCTTACATGGCCACATTCTTTACATCTCACTTGTGATTTCAACTGACCGTGAAATAAGTCAACAATGATAGACTGGTTCCGTAATAAATGGTTCTCCCAGGCCTGAAAATAAATGCAATAATCTGAGTCCCATAAGAAGAAACTGGAAAAAAAAAAAAAAAAAAAAAAAATTTGCCCCAAGGACAAAAAAATAATTTGAAATCAGTAGGCTAATTTTTCCTTTCTCCAAATCACATCTTACTGGTGTCCATTTAAACTGACACCTTTTTTTTTTTTTTTAAACATATATCCATAATTACCCTATTATAATTGTGCTTGGCCCTCTCTTCATTCATTTGCATGACCATTATTACATGCTACATTATTACCTGATAAATAATGGACTATTTCATTTTGATCATGAAAAGAAACTACTTGGTTTCAATGAGAAAATGAGTGAATGAAAGAGAATATAAATGTTTTTAATGGTTGTTTAAGTGAAATGGAAAACTTGTCAATTTCAAATCTTTTCATTTGTACCCACTTCTTAAAATAATGATGAGCATTTATATTTATGATAGTTATTGCAAAGTTGTTATGCTTTAATATTTAAAGATGCGATGGGAGAATTTCTCCAGATACTTTACTGACATAGAACTCTTACCATGAACTCATTCAATCCTTAACTGGAAAATTAAGATTTATCAGAAATTTCAAATGAGAAAACCGTGAAATGTTTACCAGTTAAAGCTAGTGAATTATAATTTTGGAAAGTAAAAATCTCTACAGGTTTTCATCTGAAATCAAGAAAGTATGAACTTTAAACAAAATGGTCACAATAGATGGAAAAAAAGAAGATATCTGCTTATAGAAATTAAATGCTGTCCGACAAATCAATTGTAGGTATGGGAGGGGGGAATAGTGAAGACTCTTTTTAAGAGAACAAAATATCCATACCTCTTGTGCCACCTCTTCATCAGGTCTCCCATTACTGTCTTTCAGTTCCACATATGGTTTCTCATGAACTCTAAAAGAAAACATCAAATACTCAATATAGGAAATGCTTTCGTTTACAACCATCAGTCTTTCTTGTTTTTGACCAATGTTTGTAGCCATTATTCAATCTTCAAATTGCATTAACCCGAAGAAAGTAGCTCTGAGGAAAACATGATCTCTCACCCCGAGACCCACAGGGAACCGACATCACATGATAATTCTGGTACCATTTTGGCAACCAAAACTATCAACAATCAATTCTCCTCCCTAAATCCTACTGACACCATCTTTTATTTCTAATTTCTCAACTGACATTTTCCAAAGCAAAAAAAATTAAAATGACATGAAAGACACAATGCAAGAAGTTGGCGCATCGGCATCATTTTTATTTAGTTATTGAGTTATACATTCTTGCATTCTTATGATTCGTGCCCTGGGTGGTGATTGGGCATGTGTATCCCAGTAACTCAAAATGTTATTCATCATTGTCATCATTTGTCGACCTCTGTTGGTATCATCGAGCCAATACAAATGATCCTTTCTTTAGTTATATAATATGTGCTACGCCAGGACTACATACAGTTTTGAATTCAGAGTTACTTTCTCCTAGACCAGTTGCCACCCAAGGCTATAGAATCCAGTCTGTCCTGCTATTTATCCATTGCATGGGGAAGAAAAGCGTTCAAGCCTTTTTCAAGGGTATTAGGCATGTAAGTGAATATAAAGGATCTGACTAGAATTCGAACTCGGCTCTCTGATTCCTCAATCCAAGCTGCTAACCATTACTCCACCATGCCTCCTTTAAAGAGTTATACTAGCATATTACTACTGGCATGCCCATCTAAACTTGGAAAGTCAGCAGGTAGGGGTCAAACTGAGAAACATAAGAAACCATCGGTTGCGAGATGGTGGTTGTGCTTATTCAGTAGAAAGGTCAATCTCAATTTACAATCAATAGGGAATTGCACATAATGCTAGAAATGCCAAAAGTTTCAAGGGTAACCATATTCTGAAAAGGAAGTTCCTGCTATGACTATAGTATTTGCAATGATAGATTTGCCACCTAAAAGTGTCTTATAACTTTGTGACTTTATCGATATCAAACTACCAACTGCCATGTATGACTTGGAAGGATGGTATCAAGGTTAAGCAAATGCAAACAAGTTTGACATGATAACTATGTTAAGGAAAAAGTAAAATTTTCCACTATAATAAAAGTTTTTTATTTACACTATTTACATGCAGATTATTGTTCTCATCATTGTTGTTATCATGTTCCAACCATTGTGCTCTCTGGCCTTCGTCAGATGGATATTGATCCAGTTAACAAATATGGAATTCTGAACAGAATCCTTTATTTAATCTATGGAGAGAGACTTTTCTCATTTGACTGCCAACAAGAAAAGTCTACCACTGTAGATTAAATAAAGGGTTCAGTTTGAAATTCCCTGTAGGTTACCTGGTTAGGCATACACATGATGAAGGTCAGGGGGTACAATAGATAAGATGTTATGATAACAAAGATGAGGACAATAGTCCATATATAAATAGTGTAAATAATGATAATTCAGACAGAAAAAAGTATGCTAACAAAAGTAATTAGCAAGTGACTTTTTTTTTCAATCCTAATCAGCATCACAGTAAATTGGAATGTAAGTTGTAAGTGAAAACATTTAGAAAGCAAGATTTAAAAAGTCAAAACAATCAGCTGCTATATAAAACATCCACTCAGCTATTAACCCTGGTTGAGAAGCATTATTCAAATGACATTTTCTGTGAGATATTTAGTACATACAAGGTCATAAAGTGGCCTTGAAATATTGACCTTATTCCATAGGTCAAGACCAAAGCCAACAAAGTTTATGTAAACAGTCAAAGTTTAACACAATAATCTTTTGTAAATTTTAGTTAAAAAAAAAAAAAAACTAACCGATTCAGATCTTCGTGTAATCCGTCAAGCAGAAAACTAAGCAACTCTTGGGAGTCTTGTTGTTGGAAGCCATTAAACCGGGGTGCATATTTACCAATGGTCCACTGGAATTCAAAAACAAACAGATATTACTTACGTACGGCTATGATAACAAAGGTTATTAGTCCAGATGGAAAAAATCATGCAGTTCATTTAGCAAACATAAATGATTTACTTTTTAAAAAAACACCATTATGTCTCCACATCAATTTTGACCTTTTACAAACTTCTTGAATTTTACCAGGATAATTATGTAACACAGATTCCCTGTGGCTTTTCTATAAATATTCTCATGGTATTTGTTCTGATGCGCACTTCCCACCTGTGAAACTCCCTTCCATTTACTTGCTTTCTTGATAACTACCATCATCAAAAATTTAAATGTAAGGTCAATCGCCATCTTCTATCTTCATGAATCCCGCTCATCTTTTGTTATTTCCTCAATCCTCCCTATTCTCAGTCTTTTCGTTCACTTTCAATGCCTGTAACCCCCTGCGCACCAGTGACATTTCTGCCTTGCTTGGGTTGAAATGATTTAAAAAAAGTTTTTCGCTTTGGCACCGACACTTTATAAATTTAAGCATAGTACTAGATTGGCAGTTAGTTAAATTTCAACTGCAAAATGAGACCTATGTCCTATGCTAACAGTTTCTTCCCTTGTACTTCTCACTTACGGAACTCTGTTCCAGCTTCTTGATTTCCAGTCAATTTTGATTTTCAAAAATTTAAATGCAATATCAATCCTTATTTTTTGTCTCCTGTTCATTTATTGTTCCTGCTCCTTAATAATGCTTTTCTTTTTCCCATATTCTTTCACACTCAGTAACTCCCTTATGTCTTAGTGGCTTTATTACTTTGCTTGGGGTGAAATGATTAAAAGGTTAAAAGAAAATTGACACACTTTAGAGCAAAGTAGATCATGGAATAAAAAAAAACAAAAAACACCCCACTATCAGAAACATGTAAATCATTTTCTGGCATATCAACACCTGCAGGGATCATGTAAGATTTACTTGTGAAGGTGGTATTATTTTGGTCAAACAAGATTACCATTTTGGGATCTTTCATAAACCTGTAAATTATCTGACAATGTATCCTCATTTTGTCACATGGCTTTAGCATTGGGAAAAAAAAAAAAAAGAAAAACTTAACCACATCTAGAGAAAAGTGAATAATTCTTATTCATTCTTATTTAAAAATGAATTTTGGACAAAGTGAGCAATATTTTAGTACTGTTCAGTTATTGATCACCCCATTTCCATAGAGTCCAACTGCACACTGCCTGGCCCAGGGAGTAAGCTCGCAATTACTATGCCATCAGATTCACAAACCAATGCTTTAAGGCACTAGGCTATCAGATTGTCTCTAGCCATGGGCAGTGGGATGAGAACGATCTAATCTGTAGATTAAATAAAGGGTTCAGTTCGAAATTCCCTGTAGGTAACCCAGATCAACATACACCCGATGAAAGTCAGAGGGCAAAATGGCCAAAACGCTGTGATGACAAAAATGAGGACAATAGTCCACATGTAAAATAGTGTAAATAATAACTACTTATTGCAGAAATTTAGACAGAAAATATCAAAACAATTCAACCATTCATATAAACAAGCCCCATTCTGAATGTTTGAGAAATCTTATTAAAGAAAGACTTTCATAGCCAAGTCAGTAGGGTGTGGCAAGCTAAATGGTAGCTCCCTGTGGCCTGAGAGATGCAAGTTCAATTACTGTCGAAGAGTGAAAATTTTTCTTTAATAAGATTTCTCAAACATTCAGGCTGGTAGATGAAAATAATATACTGTTTAATATATAAATGGAGTGCCAACTCAAATATGAGTATCCAGTAGAAATAATGTTTAAAGTGATAAACAATCTGTTGGATTAACAAAAAAAAATCCATATATATATATATATATATATATATATATATATATATATATATATATATATATATATATGGATATAAATCCGACAGTATGAAGAAAAATATATACGGAAAAAACAAACAAAAATCCTTATATACAATTAAAACAAATTAAAATGGGGTGATACATTAAAACAGCATAATTGTATATAAGGATTTTAGTTTGTTTTTTCCATATATATTTTTCTTCATATATATATTTTAAGCATTCAACTCAAGCATGGCAGGAGTTCCACTAGCACACAAAGGGTTACAGAGAATAAAAGCAAGAGTAAAGACAGTTGTTTGAGAAACGGATATAGGGAAGGACTAGGATCAGGATCAAGGCATCAGAAGATGTCGATTGACATTACATTTGAATATTTGAAGATTATAGCTATCAAGGAAGAAAGTAGGAGGAAGGAAGTTCCACTATCGGAAAGTGCGCGAGAAGAAGCTGTTGAAATAGAAGAGGTGGTTACATTTAACTGTTTCGACAGTGAAAGGATGGGACCAAGGTGTCAACCTAGTAGCACGCTTAAATTCATGCAGTTGGAGCATTAGTGAAAGTAGCTCGTCACAGCAGTTGCCATGAAAATATTTGTAGAAAAGACAGAGGGAAGCCACATTACATCTGTAAGAAAGTGACTGTAGACGAGATGCCAGATCAGGGTGTATCACACTGCATATCCATTTCTGGATTTTGTCTTGAGTTGAACTGTGGGTGCACCAGACCATACAAGGCAACAGTATTCAGTGCAAGGAAAAATAGCAGATTTGTAGATTTGAAGGGTGGGCTCAGGCAAGAAAAACCTTCTGGCATGATTCGGAGAACCAACTTTGATTGCGGTAGAAGAAGCTATTGATTCAATGTAGTTGTTCCACCTCAGGTCAGTGGAAAACATGAGATCAAGAAGGTGCAGAGAAATGCCCTCATGGAGATAGGAGGCAGGGAGGGTTCCCTATGGTGGGGAAATGAGAACAGTTTCATTTTAGAGGCATTATGTGCGTGGTGTAGATAGATAGATAGATAGATAGATAGATAGATAGATAGATATAGATTTCACAGAATAATTCTGAAATAAAAACAAATTGGTTTAAAAATCACAATTGGAAAAAATTTATATTTACCCTGAGCTTTAAGGGAGCAATAGTCTTAGAAGATCCACTCCACAAATCCTTGACAAGTTCACCATATCGCTGGGCAATATGACCCTTCATTCCGAGAGGATTAACTCTGAAAATTAAAAAAAAAAAAAAGATAAAACAAAATCACCCAATGAAGTTAATCAAAACCTATCAAGTTGAATCAGAAACAAAATTCAAAAAATCCTTTTGTCATAAATGTATTGTATGAAAATAAATTTGTAAATTTTTGTCTTTTAACAGATAATTAAGTGAGAGTCATTTGTGGAAAAAATGAAATATTTAAGATATTTATACACACATACATAACATACCATATATACACACAGCATCTATTCATTATATATAATTACAATAAAAGTACTGAATAAAAAGTAGAACCAAAGCTACTCAAGTTTCACCCCCAAAATGAGGGATCATCAGGCCAGGTTCAAATTTTAGTCCTACTTTACTGATAGTGTTGGCCTTAATTATGGAGAGGTAATTATTTGTTTTTTATTACTGTGAGAAGTGGATCTCATCCAGGTTTCATATTGGAAATTAGAAATGTTTTAGTGTGTGAACACCTCATCATGTTCTCAGCTGTCTTGTTTAAAAGAGACCATGTGTTTGGTTGGTTGTTTTATGGCATATCAACCTCAGTGGGTCATTTAATGCCAACAAAATTTTTGAAATAGATTCATAGCAATAGTTTGGTAAAAAAAAAAAAAAAAAAAAAAAGGTGTGTATGTATACACATATTTGAACCATTTTTCATTTACTCATATTTTTGAGTACAATCACATGTATTACTGGTAATTTTTTTTTTTTCAAAAACGTATTGCTGATAATAGTTTTTTTTCTTCAAAAATTAATTTCTAGTAATAATTTTTTACAAAGTATTTCTGGTATTAAAACCTATTTTTACACTTTCATAGGGCTTTTTACCTCAGTTTCAGGGTTAACTATTTTGCCCATAGCTGGGACTCTAACAGGTGCTACCACCCTGGGTCAGGGTGGACCTGGGAACACCAGCAATTATGAGGTGGTTCAACACTTCTCAAAACCTCTTTATGAGAGGCCTTGCTGTTGGACGTAGTTTATCGTCTTACCCTGGACGCGGATGTAGTTTATTGTCATACCCAGGATGCAGACCATGTGTTTGTTCCAATCCTATACGGAATGATTGCAAAATACTTTCCCCTGCCAAATGCACACAAATGCATATTGGGATTTCTTTTGAGCCAACAAAATAGGCCAGTTCTCAGTTTCATTTGACTCAGTCCTGGTCTGTTTTACCTTGAAGTCAGAATGCTACATTCACTTACCCGGATTTGCTTGTGTGCCAACCCCAATTCTTAGTTTGTGAGCGTTTTTGCCTTACCTCTGTTGTTTTGCCTTATTACTGTTAATTTGCCTTGCATATATTGTTTGCTTGCACTATATTATTTTTTGCCTTGTTTTTTTTTTTTTTTTCCTTCATATTTATTACAAACTTTGTCAATTCTGTTTGTTGGGAAGTTCTGCCATTTATTTACATTTAACCATAGTTACTCACTCTACATCTCTTGGATCTGTGAACAACAAGCTTACCAGTTCTCCACCCTAGTATAGTTAATAAAACTCACCACCCACCATACAACTCTCTCCCATCATACTCCACGTTACACTAGACCATATTTCATATTTCTGGTACAACACAATGAACCAAGTTTCCCGGCAATGGATGTAGCAATTTATTCAATATAGTTGCTCCCCTTCATGTCAGTGGGAAACACAAGACCAAGAAAGGGCAAAGTGTTTCTTGCTCGAGTTAAACACTGATTAAAGGTCTTTTTTGAGAGCAGTGCCCAGGTTTACTATGTCAAATCTGTCAGACTTGCTATTATGACAGAAGTAAATAGTTGTGTGATCTGCATAAATACCTAATAGTGAACTGATGTTTTTGGGAAGATCATTAATGAGGATCAGAAACTGAGTAAGTCCAAGAAGAGAACCCTGGGACCCCCCCCCCCTACATTAGTAAGAAATAATCTAGAAGCATGTTTGTTCAACATGACTTTCATTACACAATTTATTATTGGGTTGGAGTGGATTAAGCCAAATATTCATCCTGTGACACCATAGCACTCGAGATTGTGGAAAAGGCGAGCATGCCAAACCCTGTTGAATGCCTTTGAGGTATCAAGGGCCACAACTTGAACTTCACCATTTATATCTAAAGCTTGAAAGACAGATCTGGTGATGACACATTGGTGGCAGACCAAACGAAAACGAATTCAGTGTTGGCTAAAACTTTGAGTACTTTGCCAAAAAGAGCTAAGAGGCTAATAGGGCAACAATTTTAATGGTTAAATGATTTCCCAGAGTTTTTAAAAACAGAAACTACAGAGGAGCTCTTTCAACAAATTTGGACAGAAAAAGAGCTAGTTCAGGAGCACATATCACTCAGTAGAGCCTCAGTTGTAGGCAGAGGGAAAATCAGGTAGAGATAATCCAGATGTTATATTTTATATATATATATATAATATAATATACACACACACACTGTATTTTCTGGCTTACAAGACTCTGCAGCTTCGAAGATGTACCCTAATATTGGAAAGAAATTTCTAAGGAAAAAAAAAAATGTCATTCTCATACAACACATTCACCATGCATTGTTTGCATTAATCACTTTTCCAATTTTGTTTATATGGCAATGACATACTAGTCAAGAGCTGAAAGGCTCCCACCATTGCTAGAGCATGTTTAAGCTTGTGGCTTGGCTCCAGGATGGTTTATAGTCTTGGAAATACTTGTAACAGCTAAGTACTGAAGTTACATCATATAAAAGGATGAATTAAATAGCTAACATTATAGTGTAATGACTCAGCATACAAATCCACGTCCCTATCAGTCAAGCCAATTAGATGACCGTCCAAGTTTGCTTGAGCCTGGATGTTGCCTTACATTGATTATATTTTATTTCCCCAGGAAGGTGTTTTTTTTCCCTGGTTCCTTTTAACTTAACCGCAATATGCCCATATATGTTAATTTATTCTTCCTTTTCTTCTTTCCCCGCTTTTACCTCACATCCCTGCTTCCATATATCTTTTCTTCTCTTTTTTTCTCTTTGTCTTGTTTCCTGTAAGATCACTTATCAAATAGATCAATGTCTGGTCATTAACCCCCTTCCTTACTCTTAAGTATTTTAATAAAAATAGATTTAAAATTATTCCTATCTCTCCCTTCCTTCTCTAATTTCAACCATATCTGTCGTCCTCCTTGTCCCCCTCTTTCTGTCATCTTACATCAACTTAAAACTACCCCTCAAATGAGTATACAAATAATATGTAAATTTAAGACCATTTTTTATGCTTGAAAATGTGATCTGAGGAACCAGAAAAAAAAAAAAAAAAAAAAAAAACACCTTCCTGGGGAAATAAAATATAATCAAGGGACCCTTAAGGTTGTCTATTTTCTAATTAAATTAATATTTGCTCTGGTTTGGCATTGAGCTCTCTGGATTACATCCTCCTTTGGATTATCCATACAGATTAACAAACTTTTTATTACCCAACTATATATATATATATATATATATATATATATATATATATATATATATAGTTTTGTTAAATATGGCAGACAAGGACAATTTAATTTTTTTTTTTATTTAGTTTTTCCAGCATCCTTACTTATTTCTGTTTTATGGGAGTAAGGGAGTACAAAAATTTTCCCTAATTTTCATTACCCCAAGTGCTTTTAGCCACTTCTTTAGCCATTTTCAAGGAGGTTTTGTTTTTTGGTGTTAGTTTTTCTTCATGTTTTGATTGATTATTTTTGTGTTGTTTTGAATAGGTACATTTATTTTGAGCCTTCTCCTACTATCAACCTCGCTTGATTTAACTGTGGGAATGAAATGTTAAAAGTTCACTCAAATTCCAGCCATGCTCAACATGCGAAAAACTGAATAAATGCTACAATTCAAAACAATACTAAAATAAATTTCGGTTTAAACAGTCAAAACATGAAGAAAAATTAACAACACCAAAAACAAAACCTCCTTGAAAATTGCTAAAGAAGTTGCTGAAAGTGCTTGGGACAATAAAAATTAGGGAAAACTTTTGTACTCTTTTGCTCCTACCAAATGTAAAAACTAAAGAAAAAAAATTAATTAAATCCTCTTTGTCTGCCATATTTAACAAAACTATATATATATATATATATATATATATATATATATATATATATATATATATAGTTGGGTAATAAAAGTTTGTTAATCTGTATGGATAATCCAAAAGAGGATGTAATCCAGAGAGCTCAATGCCAAACCAGAGAAAATATTAATTTAATTAGAAAACAGACAACCTTAAGGGTCCATTGATTATATTTTATTTCCCCAGGAAGGTGTTTTTTTTTTTTTTCTGGTTCCTCAGATCACATTTCCAAGCATAAAAAATGGTCTTAAATTTACGTATTATTTAAAAGAAAGGTAGCTGCCCATATATATATATATATATATATGCATGCACAAATTTACGTTCAACCAAGCTAGACAAATTCTACTTGAATTCTAAGTATGAAAGCATATGTGCTGTTAGTGAAAAACTAAAAAAAAATCCTTGCAATAACTTCACAATTAGTTACTTTTATCTCTCACGTACATGCAAGCACACATACACACACTAAATTTGCTCAATATTAAAAAAAAAGTACTTAAAAGAAAGAGCAAGAAATAAAAAGTTTATCTACCGATTGAGTTCGTAAAGGTGAAGCCCACCATTGAAGTAACGTGTGAGGGGCCAAGTGTTGGAAACACACTGCACAGCTGCATTCATGAAACACGTGTTGCCCAGGTTATTCAGGCCAGTGGCACCCTGTTCAGTTGGAACTGAAAAAAATTTAAAAAAAAAAAGGCTCAAAATAGTCATGAAATACAAAAAGTAAAATAAAAATGTCTTCAACACATGAGCATTAAAAAAACAAAAAACATCAGCAGTAAATGAATCTCTGTTAAAATTATGTAAGAATGAATTTCTAATAAAGTTCAATGCAATTTCCAGTTGCGCAAAGATATGCAAAGATAAATATTCCTGGAATTGGAGCCATTTTCTATGAAAGAGAAAATTTGGGTGGAGGGAGATGGAACACATTTGTCAGTCACATTTCTCAGAAACCTTAAAATCTATTTCCAGATGTACAACAAACTTTCAGCATTAGAAAGCATTGGCTAAAACTCGGATGTCAGGACAGAGAGTTGTTGGTTTTCAATTATGAGGAATGACTGAAAAATGCTTCCCCCTTCACAGATTTATAGACAAAACACACAGATGCAAGCTGGGATTTCTTCCTAACCAATAAGGCCACTTCTCAGTCTCATGTGACTTAGTTCTGGTCTTGAAGTCTGAATGCTGCAATTGCTTGTCTGCATCCCCATTCTTCGTTTGTGAACTTTTGCCTTATTAGAGTTGCTTTGTCTTGTATATATTGTTTGCTTACTCAATATTATTTCTACCCTGTTCTTTTCTTTTCTTCCTCTTGTTATTTATTGCAAACTTTGTCAGTTCTTTTGTTGGGCATTTCTGTCAATCACATTTAACCATGACAAATTTCTCTAAAGGTTATTGGTTCACAAATAGACTGTTTTAATGGTGAAAAGTCCAAATATGAACTATAAAATTTTTAGGATACATGAGAATCCAAAAATTACACAGAACAATCTTGGCACCATTTGATCATCCCAATGATGAACGTTACTGTGAAAAGAATGCAAACATGTTTGCTGAATTAATCCAATTTCTCAATGACCGAAGCCTGTCTCTTATTATGAGACAAGCCCCTGACAATAGCAGAAAAGCATTGCAAGTTTTAAGAGAGCACTATTTATAGAAAGGAAAACTGAAAATAACTTCCTTGTATACTGAATTAACTTCCCTGTGAAAAGAGAGAGGCAACAGATCATATTTTTAGAACTGAAAATGCTGCAACTTTATTAAAACATCAGAAGTTATTAGTGACAGCTAATAAGAGTTATGATCCTAAAAGGCCTTCCATTCAAATTTAAAATGTTAACAACTGATATTACTGAGGAAGACAAACCAGTAACGTTTAGTGAATTTAAAGTAGCACTGTGAACCTTCGAAGAAACTGAAAAGAACACTGAGGAGAATAACAGTGAAAATACCGTATCGGTCCTCAGAATGCAAAGGCAATGACCAAAACCACAAACTAATAATGGCCCCCACCTGCTTTGCATGTAGTAAACCAGGTCATAAAAGCTCGGACTGACTAAATAAAATTCTGCAGTAGACTGGTTGCTACTGAAAGCAATTGGATCTAGTCTGTCCTGCTATTTAACCCATAGCTGGTGGGACAGAAGAGATGGATTCATACAATTCCCAAGGGTATTTCTGCATAAGTGAATGTAATGATCTTGACTGAGATTCTACCTCAGCTCTCTGACTTCTCATTGCAAGCCGTTATCCAACACATGCAAACTTACACCACCTCGTATTTCTATTTCCTTTTTTTATTAATTGGTGTGTACAGTAATTTTATTTATTCTTCTCAATCGAGCTATGACAAGTGAGGAGCAATAACCAGTTAGCATATGCTTTTTTTTTTTATTCCCTTTTTCTTCTATTTCTGTATAAATTAATATAATTGTCGTCTTTTTTTTTTCTTCTTTCCCTGACTTTTTAAAAATTATGCCCATTTTTATTGCTGTAACAAATTACTGTTGTGTGCTGCAGAAGTTGTTTCTCTGCTTTATGTTTCATACTCTACTTGTTTTCCTCGATTTTCATTTTATTATTGAATTTTGTTAAGTTAGAAGTGTGGTTTGACTGGGGAATTTATTTAATTAATTAGAAAAAAAATTGTAATCTTGATATTGCTAAAAATACCAAGAGAGAAAAACAGCCAAACTGATAAAATATTGTAAAGTATAAGAGGGGGTAGACTATCAATTTTTCCCTCTATTTTAACA